CATAGGACAAAGTCTCCACTCTCAAGAATAGAGGAGAGCAATTTTGTAAACCCATAAATTCAGTAAGCTATTAAAGATACTGTAGGAAAAATTGCTTAGTATCCTAGGGCCTATGTATGGAAGTAGTAAATGTTGCCTCCAGGGCAAGGGAAGAATGACTTTAGAATGGAAACATTTTTGTTGAGTCTTAAAGATCAATACAAAGTGAGTGAGAAGGTAAAGCAGGGAGGTGTGTGGAAATTGTTCAGGATGACAGAAACATAGCATATAAATGTACGAGCCCAAATCACCAATTAAGTCACAGCTGCCATCAGTGAGGCAAGACCTAAAACCCAAAAATGAGGAGCCAGGCATTTCTATTTTGATTTAGTCATTTCAGCAAAGTCCTATCTACCTTATTATTCTAGATTAAACATTAGAAATCACAAAACTGGCAAATGGTCTTGATTTATTTACTTTTTTTAAAAGACCCTATGGATACTTTATCTAAACATTATTAATTTTTATTAATTTTTTATTTTTTTCTAGACAATTTTTAGTTTATTCAGTTCTAGGATGCTCACCATTTGTTTGTTCCTGTCCTCAGATCAGGCACAATAAGTAAGGACTTTCCTTTGCACATTAAGGTGGGGACTTGCAAATGACTCACAGACCTGACTGCTCCCCTTACTAAAAGGTCACTTTCCAATCCCATGACTTGCTGACACTCATAATGAAAGATTTGAAGGCCTCTGAGGGACATGAAGAATATTCTTTTTTTTTTTAGATTAGAAAATATAGTTTATTTAAAAGCTGAATTAGAGAGAGAGAGAGACAGACAGAGAGAGAGAGAGAGAGAGAGAGAGAGAGGGAGGGAGGAGATTCACCTCCCCAAGGTAGGGGAGGGGGCCAAAGCTTAAGAAAACATGACCTGGCCATAGCTCAAAGAGCACATGGTCACCACATAACTTAGCAAGGCAATGGCCAACAATATCAATATTCTTTATTACAGATAAGAATATGTTTCTTGAAAAACACAAAGATTCAGAAATTTTTCTGATTCGAAATAACCTTTGCTTACAATTAGTACTTTTCTTTTTTGAGTTTTAACACAAGGAATTATGATTCTGTGTGTGACACTTCCTCTAAAAGGAAGTGCTATTGATGTCCTCTGAAATCTAGTTTGAATCCTAAAACTAAAATGCATGCCTATAACTATAGTGATGTATAGGTGACCATTTGGGAAAATATGGTCTAATGGTCAAATATTTTATTTTCTGAAAAATTAAAAGAAAAAAAAGTGCTTCTTTGGGCCTGAATACACAGTAATTTGCAGAATCAAGTTTGTACTGGGTTAAGTTGTCACAATCTTGTTCTGGAAGAATTATCACTTGACCTTTAAAAGGATTGGATTCAGGCTACAGAGAGAATGTATTCCAAACTAAATCCCTTTCCACACATGGACTGGTTGAATAGAAAATATCCAATATATCCAAAATACTTGTTTGTGCCAAATCAGTTTTTAATCTAGGACTTCCTAAACAGTTCAGGTCACTATTTTTCTGACAATAACACCAAAATTTCTGGTAAGAATGGGCATGGTCTCGTACATCTAATGCTATCCTTAATAAGCTTAGGTTAAATATACAGGAATCATCATGTAATAAACTCAGGGATTTGTAACTATCATAACTATCACATTGCATTTTTCTTCTAACACTGCTTATCTCCCAGACCAATGTGCCCAAATATAAGCTTATTATAAATTTTGTATGAAGAAAACTATTTTATAATTGAGAAGAATTAATGCAATAGGCTTTGGGAATTTGATATTTCCTTTAGGTTAAGAAAAAGCAAGTCTTAAATTACTGTCATGTAGCATACAATCCTCTATGCCCTGTCCTGTCTAATAACCATCCTTTCACTGCCAGTTTGGCCTGTTTCTCCACAGTCTCAAATGTGTCACCTGTGTAAGGTCAATGCTTGAAATCTCCTAGAAGTTGGAGATAAAAGGCCCGAATCCATTAGACTTGGGCTTCCTTATCTTTTGAGTACTGCCACCAAAGGTATTTTATTATGAGATTTTGAAAATAAACAAAGAAAATAAAACTGTCTCAGTGGCCTTGATGCTACAATTTTGCAGCAATTGTATGTTCACTAGTTCAAGAGAGAATAGAACTAATGTAGCACATTGGGTTGCCTGTTAGCCAGATTCCCATCAGGAAACCCAAACCAGATGAGACTCTTGGGACCAGTTAGAATCAGCACTAGTCTGAGAATGTGGGAAATAAAAAGTTCAAAGGGAGGTAGAATACAAAAAAAATTGTTCGTTAAAACATAAAAGTTTGAGCATCATTATAAGGTGAAATAGACAAAGGTATTTGAACTACCAAAAACCTCCACAAAACCAAAACTTTATTGGACACAATTTTCTGAAACAGGAAGGACATTATCATAAGCATTGATGGGCCTGTTGTTCAATATTCACAGCTATTTACTGAGTACCTCTTCTGTGTCTGACCTTTTTCTCTAGACTTCAAATTAATCTTTGAAAAAAATATATTCAGACATAGGTCCTTCTTGAGTTTATATCCTATGGGAAGATGACAGACTAAGGAGTAAATAATATTAGAAGATAAATACCATGGAAAAAATAACAAAGTACAGGTATAAGAAATTCCCAAAGGGGGTTGGAGGAAGTAGGAGAGGAGTCATTCAAAGAGAAGGTGATATTTGAGTCGAAATTTAAAGTAGGTGAGGGAGTGAGTCATGTGGAGATAGAGGGGAAGAGCATTCCAGACAGATAAAATATGAGGTTCTGAGATCCTGAGGCAGAAATGAGCCCTGGGTTATTTCAAAGTAACAGCAAGGAAGACAGTAATGCTGAATGAGGTGGAAGTGATCCCGAGAGATGGAGCTGGGAGGGTGGATCCTAACAACTGCTTTGGCTTTTATTCTCAGTGTGACAAGGAGTGATTGGAGAGTTAAGAGCAGAGAAGTTATATGATCAGATTTAGGTTTGAACAGAATCACTCTGGCTTTTCCATTGTGATTCTTATTAGGAAATTAGTCAGAAGTTTCTAAATTAAAATGTTATAATGCTTAAAATGACTCTTGCATAACTCATGTAGAATATTATGTACTTCCTAGGTTATTAGTGCATATTTACTTGCTTTTTTACTAAATGAAGCAAAAACCAGTTGTAAATGTATACATTTTTTTTTTCCCAGTTAAAGCCACTCACTGATTACATAAACAGAACTCTTCCCTTTCTTATTGAATTTAACATTACAACTCTTACACTTTGGCTCTGGGAATGCCTACTTTAAATTTTCTTCCACATATTCTATGTTAAATCCTACCTCCTCGTGTCCCCCATTAGTGCTTATCCTGCTTGGAATGTCATCCCCATTTCTTTCCTACTAACATCTCATACTCAGAATGTGCATCACTGAGTTCTGGCAGCTGTTTGTATATTGTATTGTATTTTCAGACAGTTTAATGTGTTTGTTCTGTACATCTAACAAAGAATCTCCTAGAAAGTGATCCATGTTTATTTTCCACACCAAGTGTGAGTCTCAGCTCACAACAGGTGCAATATGGGCCTGATTGTTTGCTTCTTGACACTTCAATCCATCTGTCAGTGAGACTAAGCTATCCGAAACTAGTTTTCAGGAATGTCGCTGGGAAGTCTGAGGGAATGGGTGATGGTAAAGCAAACCAGATGAGGATTTGGGATTCAGGATACCAGTGTCGCTGTCCCCTTTCCCAGGTGCTGAATAGCTTATATGCAGAACTTAATGATGCTTTTCCCGCAAATAAAACAGCAGTTACGTGTCTCTTCAGCCACTAGAACTTCAGTTTTTATTTTGCTCCCTTGCTTCTTTTTAAAATGCATCTACTGCAAACACAGAAATCTCTGTGTCAAAAATCATGTTTGATTGTATATCTTAATTTATTTATACCATCTACCACGATAGGTAACTAATTGATTAATCTTTGGAAATAATCAAATGCCTCATTTAGGAGTGAATATATGATATTAATGACATAATTCTAAGCATGAAAAACAAACATTCAAAATAAGGCACTTGTTATGCCAAGTTTTTATCAGTTGTGTGTAAAATCAAGGTATAGATCTCAGACCCAAAGAATATAGTTTTCCAGTATAGTATGGCTATATGGCAACTTGAGTTGCAGTGAAAATGCATATCTGTTATCTGAAACATGAGTGATGTCAAATTGGTTTCACAAGTGTATGTTGGTTTTAAAAGCTCAGCAGTAGATAAAATTATAGATGCATTTGTCAGGGTTCTTTGCATTCATTTGTTATCAAAAACAATCATTTGTTATTACAGAGACATTTTGCCTTCATTAAAAGAGTAGTGATTATAAATGAAAATAAGTGTACTTTCAAATTTCATACCTTACTTACTGTTGAATTGATTTCTAACATTACTTTCTAGTGCTAGAAATCCATTTTTCCTGGAATTCTCTTCAAATAAGAAGTGGTTTTAAAGTTTAGACAAAGAACTAACTCTTAAGACACTTCGACCCAAAAGGCACACTAAAAGGAAGCACATCATTTATCTTTTGCCTCTCTATATAAGCATTTTCTTTATCTTTTGAGACAGCAAGGGGAAAGGGAGCAGGGAAGATGAAAGAAGCCACATTTAGATTCCATAATGTATGTTTGAATTATGAACTTATGGGTCATTTTCTTGTTAAAAGGATAAGATATTTACTAATGATATAAGTCCATTAGCACTTAATGTTCTAATTTTGTTAATACATGTTGGGGAAGATTATTTTTAGATGTCAATATTTCACTCCTAGTAAAAATCAATGCATGATTGATGTGTGTGCATTTCTCAAAGGAAGAAATAATTCTGTTATTCTTTATTATGTCATAAAAAACTTGTACATGATTATTGATTATCTTAAAAATATTTTCATTATAAACAATCATAACCCCTTTTTCCCCATATTACCTGACTAATAATCTTTGCTACACACTTCAGGCATGAACTTCTTGAAGAAGCTCGGAGGAAGGGACTACCTTTTGCCCAGTGGGATGGGCCCACTGTGGTCGCATGGCTAGAGGTGAGAAAATTACACCAGAATGTTCTTAAATCAATCACAACTAATATGATAACATTTTAGAAATAGTTAAAGAAAGGTTTCTGAAATCATAGCATCCCAGTAACCTGGAATTGCTCATAAAGGGAATATTTGTGTCACAGAAATACATTGTGATTTTACTATGACACAGTAGGGTGAAAGGAAGTATCTCTAAATGCACCCTCTTCATGCCTAGATCAGGAAAAAAGAAACAATTATTGAGTCACCTTTTTGTTGTGACAAGGAAATATCTGTTCCCATCCCAGGCCAAGGTCTTTCCTCATCAGTGGGTTACAGAGAAAAGCCATCTTCACATTGAACACTTCTGTTAAGACCGCTTAATTGCATAGAGAACCATTCCTTTGCTTGTAATTTAATTCATGAACGTAAAGCCTGGGGACCAGCTAGGTTTAGACACTTGGGATAAAGCAGAAGACTTATCTTCTTCTTCCCTTCTGTGTCCAAACTGAATGTTATAATGAAACAAGAAATACATTCAGCATTTCCTGTGTAACATAGTCTTTTAGACAAATAAGCAAATACCCGAACACAGTGGACGTCGGCAGAAACAGACTTTGACAATGAAAAACATACATATTTGACCACAAAGGGCTCTTTTGTGTCACTTATTGATAGTGTCCATTACCCTTTCTGTTCAGTTCTCTTCTGTGGACTGCTAGTAGCTGCTAGGATATACTCAGCTCAGAGCAAAGAATAGCCAAGCTTTTCTTGCTTGACAGAGTTAATTATGCATGTTGTTTTAAATGATCTGGAGTTATAAAACCTTTATTATCATATCCAGAGCTAACTAAGTAATTAATAAAGAAAAACAAAAGAACACCTTATTTTAAAATATAAACTTACATAGATATGATTTTTTAAAAATGTTTTGTACTTTTTCTTGGACTGAAAAAAAACTGTGTATTACTCTTATTTTATTCTTTCAGATCAGTCAGGGAAATTTTAGCATATTAGAGATTAAGGTTGCTTCTTCTAATCATGTCTTTATAATTACTACATTTTAAAAATCAATAACAAGACAAAATGTTTAAGAAACCACTCCTCAGAGAGGATAGCAGTCTTTGTTCAGCTTTCACTCTGTTAATATGAACTGCAGCTTGACAGAGAGTCCAATGCTATTCTAGAAAGTGATGAACAAATCCTTCAGAGAAAAAAAAAACAGATTTATTGACATTAAGGTGCAAGAAAATGACAGACAGCAAAGTTTGTGATAATTAAACCTATCCTGAGCACACAGAAATTGCTCATAATGTAATTTTCTAATGTTACTCAAATTATAAAATAGAATAAATGAGATGAATGAACCAGGCAATACAATGAATGAAAGCTTTAACCTTACCTCTTTCAGCACCTCCTTAAATGCACAGCCTGTTAAGAATGTTGTGTAGGAGGGAGTCTGATGTTTCACACACCATTTATCCACATCAAAAACTCTTTAAAGTCTAATCACGGATGACATTGGTAGCAATGCATTGGCAAGCATTTGGATAATGTTAACCAGTGTGGAAAACCCAAATATCTTAGAAGAGAAGAGTGAAAAATCATTAGGGTCCAGTGAAGATATATTCGGATGTTTAGTTATGTTGAATAGTTTGAGTTTATAAACTAAAAAATCAGGTCCCTTCTTCTGTCATACCCAATGTACCTGTAAAGCTAATGTCAATTCTTTGAGCCTAACCTGCTGGAAGAAAACATAAACAATGCAATCATGCAATATATGTAGATCTCCTCTCTCCTTTCCCTTATCTCAGTCACAGCCCAAGCCACACTGACTCAAAGACGTGGTTTTTTGTTTGTTTGAAATTTTCTAGTACAGAGACAAGTGGTCTTTTACTATTATGGAATTTTTAAGCTAAAATGTTGAGCCGGGCTCACTGACTCAGCCTGTAATCCCGTGCCTTGGGAGGCTGAGGTGAGTGCATTGCCTAAGCCCGTGGGTTCGAGACCCGCCTGGGCAACTTGGCGACACCTCATCTCTACAATTAAAAAAAAAAAAAATCAGCTGGGCATGGTAGTGCATGCCTGTAATTCCGGCTACTTGGAAGGCTGAGGTGGAAGGATCACCGGAGCCCAGCAGGTTGAGTCTGCGGTGGCCGGGAGCGGTCACTGCACTCCAGTCTGGGCGACAGAGTGAGACTCCAACTCAAAAATAAATAAATAAATAAATAAATAAAATAAAATAAAAGGTTGTCTGCACTAGCTATCTATTGTCATGTAACAAATTGCCCCAACACTTGACATTTATAATCATACTTCTATAGGAATGTGGGCGTGGCTTAGTAATGGCCTCTGCTCAGAGTCTTTCACAGGGCTTCAGTCAAGGTATATCTCAGGACAGCAGTCATCTCAAAGCTTGACTTTGGAAGAATCCACTTCCATGCTCATTTATGTGGCTCCAGTCGTGATTCAGTTTCTTGCTGGCTGTTGGCCAGAAACATGAGTTCCTCATCATATGGGGCTCTTCCTGGAGCTACTCACAAATGGCTCCCCCAGAACGAGAGACCAGAGGCAAAGAGGGAATGCGAGAGGACTAACAAGAATGCAGCCCCAGTCTTTGTGTAACCTAACCTGGAAAGTGACATCCCATCACTTTTATCATCAGCTATCTGTTAGGAAAAAAAGTCACTGCGTCCAGCGTATCCTCAAAGAAAGGAAATTATAGAAGGCATGGATATCAGGATGTGGGGATCACTGGAAGCCATCTTAGCAATTATCTATCATGATATCATATAAATAATAATGCTTAATACCGTCGTTTTACAAATGAGGAAAATAAGGATGAGGTTTGGTTGAGTTACTTGACTCACTAATGACAGGAAAGGAATGAGAGCCCAGGACTTCTGATTCATGGTCCAGGGCTTTTACCATCGTATTTTGCTGATTTATAGTTTATCCTCTTCATCTCAATTTTTCTCACTCTCACACATTCTCTCCTGTTTATTGTAACAAATAAAAGAGTAAAAATTTCTATCTTTTGAACATGTAGAAACAAAGATTTAAACTGCTAATGTTTTGTGTTTCCTACTTCTTACTCATAACTAGTGATGAGGGGAGATGGAAAGGATATTTCTTTCAAAGTGTCTGTAATTCAGATGCTACAATACAATGTTTATGAGTTGGCATTCACCCAGTATTTGAGATGTGCATGGGACACTGTGCTGTGTGCATAGCACTACTGATTCAATTGTCCTTCAAAAGGCTCACAACAAACTTGAAAAATCAGAATCTCTAATTTCTGATGAATTAATAGTTACAGTTTTCCAATGATTCTAACTTTAGTCTCTCACTGTACGTCATCTCACTCTCCAAAAAATATTTTTCTATGAGCTTTCCTAATTAAGTTCACACAACTTTTATGTGGTATAGAAAAGTAAATGGAAATGTAGCTTAGCTACACTCCATGCTTTGATCAAAATCATATGGCTTGGAGATAGTACAGCTGTCTGTTTCTATGACAGAATTTCTCTGTACTCAGAATTTCAAAGGAGAATTATAAATTGAAGTCACTCTTGAAACAGACACTGATTGAATCCCTTACCAAATGTGGCTTGTAGTTGTTCTTGTCCTTACATACTAAGGGGAACTTGGTGCCATGTGGCTATTACCTTTATCTCTCTTAACATAGATGAATTAAAATGGAGTCTCTGGACCCAGCATGTCTTAATTTCAAATCTTGGTTTCATCACTGCCTAGCTAGTGTTTTTGAACATATCACTTACCGTCTTTGTGCATCTTTTACCTCTGGGGAAAATAATAACATTTATCTCATGGTGTTGTGGGCAATACATGAAGTCATAATAATTCCTAGACTATGAGATGCTAACATTTTAACTATTATTATAAGTTGTTAATGTATCTTTTTTTTCCTATCCAACAGCTTTGGTTGGGAATGCCTGCTTGGTATGTGGCAGCCTGCCGAGCCAACGTGAAGAGTGGTGCCATTATGTCTGCTTTATCTGACACTGAGATCCAGAGAGAAATTGGGATCAGTAATCCACTGCATCGCCTAAAACTCCGATTAGCAATCCAGGAAATGGTTTCCCTAACAAGCCCTTCAGCTCCTCCAACATCCCGAACTGTGAGTCAGTGTGTGCCCCCCCTTCCTCTCCAATGCTGGGCAAATAACCGCATGTCTAAGTCCACACAGCAGAATCATGGCAGTGTGCATTTCTATGTCAGCATGAATTATTCTGAAGAGATTTAGCTCGCTCCTCATTAACCTTGCTGCTACTGTTAATAGGTTTTCAATTGAGGTTCTGTGATTCATACCAGACTTGAAGGGTAGCATAGCAGACTTTTGAGCTAGCATCTAAAGGAGAGTTGAGATTTTTCTGCCAGGCAAAAAGACACTGAGCTTACATTTTTTAAAAAGATGTTCTTTTCTTTCTTTCTCAGGAAATGAGCTATAAGCATATGCTTTCTGAAGATGCAGGGCTTAACTTGATATTTCTTAAGAAGTTTTCATATTATGAAATTACATAAGGTTTAATGTTTTGCAAATACCAAATGGACTATCTGGAATATCTGTTTTTTCAAAATCTGCATGTCACTTAAAAGTTCCTAATCCTTTCATTATTTTATCCTTTTCCTAAGATTAGGAAAGAATAAAATGTGAAAAAGGCATGCATAGTGACAAATCCAAACAAAAACTTGCCAAGACACACTTCATTCTTTCTTTATTTCATTCCTGAATTATATATTTTGCTTATAAAGGATGTGAGTTCTGATGTTACCTGGATTTTTCCAATCTCATGTATTATACAGCATAATAAAATACGGAATAATGAGATAAGTTTGAGCAATGGGTAAAAGATTAAAAAGTGATATTACATTATTGTAGTTTTCAGGCAAAAAACTAACTTGAGTCTAACTTTTTATATATGATCCGACACAGTTTTGAATAGCTTGCTTTATTTCTATTTGGACTTACATTCCTTCTCAATATGCTAGATTCTAATGCCAGAAATAGATCAAATTTAAATGGCTTATATATTTCTTGCATAATTCCATTTTAACTTCTTCCTAAATAACATGTATGAAAAACATATAATTTCAGAAACTCTTACCAATAATATTATTTTAAATGGATATAAATGTTCTGCACTATACCTGGAGTTAATACTAACTCAGTATAAAAGATGCTTCACAATACTGTTGACCTTTGAACAACACAGCAGTTGGGGCACTGAACCCACACAGTAAAAAATTTACCCGTAATCTTTGACTCCAGAATTTAAGTACTGATAGCCTGCTGTTGACCATAAGCCTTGCTAATAACACAGTTGATTTACATATATATAATCTGTGCTATATTTATTATATGCTCTACTCTTACAATAAAGTAAGTTAGAGAAAAGGAAATATTACTAAGAAAATTCTGAGAGAGAAACTGCATTTACTATTCATTAAGTGGGAGTAGATCATTATAAAGGTCTTCATCCTCATCTTCACATTGAGTAGCAGGCTGAGGAGCAGGAGAAAGAGAAGGGATTGGTCTTGCTGTCTCAGGGGTAATAGAGACGAAGGAAAATCTATGTATAAGTGACCCCTTGCAGCTCAAACCTATTTTGTTCAAAAGTCATCCTGTACATTTACTGTCAAAACCAAGCAGACCATTAAAATAATTATTGTAAATTGAATTCAGACTGATGAAGAGTTTCCTGAATAATTTCTAGCTGAGAGGGAGGCATCACTGGTTTATATCAACATTCTCCTCCCAAGAACAAATGCAAAGATATTCAAAATTCTGAATCTTGCAAAAATTCGAGCATTTGAAGTTTTCAACTTCCAGATAACAAATATAATATGCTTTACCATTTTTATTCAGCAACATAAGCAATTTTCTTAATGGAAAATAGAAAAGTAAATCCTATTTTCCTAAGAATGTTTAACCTACCTGAAGGAATTTAAATTACAGGATTTTTGTAGATAAGTGAACTTAGTTGTTTAAAGAACAGGCAGAGTGAAGAGAACTATGGGACTCTTCATGATCTAGCCTCAGTTCATCTTAAAGGCTTTATTTCCCCAGGTCAGTAGCAACTTTTAATTTTCTAAACTTCTTTGTCCTCGGTTGATTATAAGCTTTTGCAATTGCTCTTCCTTTTGCCTGGAACGTTCTTTGCACTCCATTCTTCCCTAGCTCATCCTTGGTTTATTAATTCCTGCGTGACTTTTCTCTGAAAAGCTTCTGCTAAGCCCTGGAAGTCTAGGTTTAGTTCTCTTCCGGAGTTGCCGCTCTATGTATTTACAAAAGACATTTCATAATTCTTTCTTTTCTTGATGTAGCTCACACTGAATCAAACAAAGATAGTATCAGGTTCCCATAGGCCTCAGGCCTCAACTCAGTGCCTGGCAAATTGAAGATATTCAGTAAATATTTCTTTTAAAAATAATCCTTACACAAGTCACTCTATCACTATAGAGGATATGAAATACATTAGCTTCTGGTTCAGAGAAAGAAATTATACTAAGAAAAATAAGGCATGTTGACCCATAGGTTTAATATGAGATGATATAGTATAATTCCTAAGTGTTAAACAGAAGCAAAGTGCTATGGAGTTTGCAGAAAAAAATAAGTCATTTCTGGATGACTTCAAAAAGAAATTAACATTTGAAGGCTAAGAAATACATTGCTTATAGCATTTAAGTTTTATATTTGCTTACTCAATTAATACGTGTTCCTATATAACATTTTTAGTCTATAAAAAATACAAAGACGCCGGGCTCGGTGGATCAGCCTATAATCCCGCGCCTTTGGGAGGTTGAGGTGAGTGGATTGCCTGAGCCCACGGGTTCGAGACCCGCCTGGGCAGCAAGACCTCATCTCTACAATAAATCAAAAAATCAGCTGGGCGTGGTAGCGCATGCCTGTAATTCCGGCTACTTGGAAGGCTGAGGTGGAAGGATCGCCAGAGCCCAGCAGGTCGAGGCTGGTGGCCAAGAGCGGCCACTGCACTCCAGTCTGGGTGACAGAGTGAGACTCCAACTCAAAAAAAAAAAGCAAAGACAACAATACAAAAATTAAAAAACTGACTGGGCATGGTGGCTGATACTTGTAATCCCAGCACTTTGGGATGCCAAAGCAATTGCTTGCGCCTTGGAGTTCAAGACCAGTCTAAGCAACATAGCAAGATCTTGTCTCCATGAAAAATAAAAAAAAATAAGCCAGGTGTGGTGGTGCAAGCCTCTAGTCCAGCTACTCAGGAGGCTGAGGCAGAGGTATTGTCTGAGACCAAGAGGTTGAGGCTGTGGTGCACCATTATCATGCCACTGCACTCCAGCCTGGGTGACAGGGTAAGACTCTGACTGAAATTAATTAATTAACTAATCAATTAATTAATTACACAATACCAATAATTACTTCAGAGATAATCAATGCTAAATTTTTCACTATTGACTTTTCCATTGAGACATTTTCAAGCTTTATCTTTTTATAAATATGGATTATTTCACATAATATATTATTTTGTACTCTTCTCCCCAAAATTTAGTCATACAGCATACACATTTTCTTCATGTTATTAGGTAAGCAATTGAAAACATCACTTTTTATTGTCACTTATCTCCTAAATGGTAAAGCCAAAAGTTTGTTTAACCAAATCACTACACCGGAAATTTTGCTTATTTTACAGTTTTTATTGTGTGTAAAAAATGTACATGTAGTTATATTGTTGCACACAGTGTGGTTATTTCCATTGCAATATTTGTGTATTGGGCTTTTATATTCTAAATACATTTAAACTATACTGCCAAGTTGTACTGTGTTGCTATTTTCCCTCCCTGTGTCAACATTGGCTATCTCACTGCTTAAATTTGTATTTTCAAAATTACAGTGAAGTTAAAAAATTTTTATGTTCTTATTAATTTAGCACTTATGTTAATTCCTTATTCATGTTTTTTCAATTTTTATAGTATAGAAATATCTATTTTTTTACATGTGTAAAAGTTCTTTATTCACAGAAGATACATGCCTTTTTCAAACGTTGATACAAGTTATATAGCGAGTTAAGTTGTGTCTCTATACTTGAAAAATTATTTACTAAATGTTTCTTCTTTTTTACTCCATTTACATGAATAATTTACTTATTTCTAATATATTTCTAATACGATTTACTTTGCAAAACAAAAATTCCACATAAATTGCTATTAATGAATCTACTATATAAAGTAAAGATGAATACATCTTACAATCAAAACTTAACATCGTATGTTAGGATTCATAATTAGAAAATACATGCAGAGATTCTTTAATTTTTTTGTGGTAAAGAAATGTTATTATGCTTCTAGAACACTACAATTTGTAACAAATTTTTTTGTACATTGAGCTTTTGGTTCAAGTTCCTCAGTCAAATGTATCTTATTCTTTGACTCCTGTCCTCAGGAGAAAAAGACAGGGTAGTTGATTTTTTTTTTTTTTCTTTTGAGTTGGAGTCTCACTCTGTCGCCCAGACTGGAGTGCAGT